CAGAAGGCCTTTGAGATGATCGCCTCCGAGAGGGCTCGCATGGAGCAAACCATCGCCGATGCCAAGCGCCAGGCCACCGAAGATGCTTTCTTAGTGATCAATGAACAGGAGGAGTCTACAGAGGTAAGGTGCCAGGGGACATCCTAGGAAGGGACTTCCAAAGGCTCACAAATCCTTCAGGTCCTGCCTGGCAGTGAGGAGAAGCCAGTGAGTCCCCCTCTGCTCTTCCTTGGTTTAGTGGTCATGGTAGTGCTGGGTTAATGGCTAGACTGGATGATCTTACAGGTCCTTTCAACTGTCATGATTCTGTGACTGGAGGTGGGCAGGCTCTGCCCGGGGCAGCTTTTCCAGAGCTGCACTTGCCCTCTGTGGTATGTGGCTTCTCAAGGGAGTCCTGCTCAGGGTCACTGATGCGCCTGGCACAGGCCCCTCACCCCTGTGCTCCCAGGGCAGCAGGGGCTCCCTCCAATCCCCCCAGCTGACACCTTTCCTGGCACCCAGAGGTGCTCTGCTCTGCTTCCAGATTGAAGCTCAGGCTCTGGCAGTGTTTCCACCTGGTCAGTAGGCTTTCAAATAACTTTTTTCTTTTCTAAATTAGCCTGCTCTGACCTCTTGTGCAGCGTGGCAGGGTGCAAAGCCAACGGTGCCTGTGCAGCTTGCTGTAATCCCTGTGGAGAGCACTTGGCTGGGAATGATACCAAAATAGAGCTGCTTGAAAGAGGAAGTAAAAAGACCAAATAGCAGGGTCTGCAGCACGTTTCTTAGTCCTTGCCTGGTGTTTCCTCCATCCTTTTGGGTGGGTCTAGGAGAGAGGATGTGACAGGTTCAGTCTGGCAGGTGGTTTTGGGCAGAGCAGGGGAGTTGTGGTTAGTGCCCTTGGCAAAGGGCTGTGAAATAGGATTGCTCCTTTTAATATTACTCAGTCTAGAGGGGGCTGAACAGTCCCCTCCAGAGCTGTCGAGTCAGCACCGTCCAGCAGCTCTGGGAAACTAGACCCCTTTTGAAGCGTGGCACCTTTGGTCTTGCAGAGCTGCTGGAACTGCGGCCGCAAAGCCAGCGAGACGTGCAGCGGCTGCAACATCGCCCGGTACTGCGGCTCCTTCTGCCAGCACAAGGACTGGGAGAGGCACCACCGCATCTGCGGCCAAGGCCTGCACGGCCAGAGCAA